TTCTCAGTTTCTCATTTTGTCACAGAAATTCTGCCAGGATTATGTTTTTTGTACCTACCTTCATCTGGATACCCTCAATTAATATTTTAAATCTAGATTTGAAAGTGCTTTGACTACAATAGATTTTAAAAGAAATAATAATTAAAAAAAGACTGGACACTATTAACCGATGAAACAATTTAAGACACGATTGAAGCCAAATGGTGAAAATATGTTATTCAAGCGCCAGATTCATCCCTCTTAGTAAAAACATTTTTGTTTGTTGCTTAATTATTTTATGTGTTATTAAATTTAAATTTAAAATTAATTAACATGTTTTTCTTTAGTTTTAAACACTGTACTTCACTACAGTTAAAAAATTTAATCTTTTAAAGTAAGTATCTCTGTACCAGCTGTCAAAAAGACATTTAAGTTGATCAATGTGCAAAAATTTAGTATTAGATAAGCAGGGGTCTACCCAAAGACGAAAAACATGGCCAGGGGGTCTATAAGTCAGAAAAGTTTGGGAACCTCTGTTGTAGTGGATGAAACTTGATGTTAATCCAGTTTTTTCAAATATTAATTAATTAATTTAATTTACTTAATTATCGGTTTTCGACGCCAACTTAAATTCATCTCCATTGTTGTAACAATGTAACTGTTTGACAAAAGTTGGCGTCGAAAACCGGTTTTTCAGCCAAACTAGCTAAACCGGGTGTGCATTGTTACAACAATGCAGACACACACACAAATCATGCTCTTTTTTCAATTCCTTCTATTTTAGTTCACTCTCTCCCTATATATATATATATCTTGTTCAAATTTTGAACTGTTAATAAAATACTTTATATTCATCCATTCAAAGTAAGAATTAGCTTTAAAAATTTTTATATCACCTTTTTTTAAGTTTTAAAATCTTTTTTATGAAATTATTTATAACATTTGATCATCTTTAACCAATGATGAAATTTTAAGTTTTTTCTAAATTTTTCAATTAGAACAATCACAACTTAGTTTAACTTCTGTTTTGAATTCAATGAAGAACACGTGTTTTCCTTAACCATGTGACCCTCATGAATTGAGTCCATTTCTTTAAACCTCGTAGATATCACAAATTTTTATTTAAAAATATCTATGAACCATCTGCTTTTTTTCTTTTAAATTATTGAAATGTTAGCTTTTACCAAGCAAATTGTTATATGCTGTGAAAGATAATTTTTATTCAATTCCTACTATTTAGTTCACACTCTATATATTGTTACGTAGATCGGGGTTCGAGGATTTTATGCAAAATCAGTCGTAAATAACAAGGCAATCCCTTAAGAGCGATGAGTATTTATTGGCGTAAATCAATCCCTGAAAATACAGGATTCAACAGCAAAATTCGCAGAATAATTAACAGAAGGATCTCACACCTTCAACAGCACTCAGGCACAATAAGCAGTGTCTAAAATTCACGTATGTAAATGACTATTCACAAGCACAGCCGAGCTTATCAAATTCAAGGCAAGTCTTCTAATCGCTAATCAAAACAGTGCCCACTACTCGCTGGTTAAAATCAGACTCTACTCGCTGGCTGAAACCAGGCTGACTGCTGCAACGTGTTTCGCTCTATTTATAGCAGAGGCCGAAAATTCTGGAAAGATACGCTCGCGCCACAGATCGTGAAATTAGTGGATTTCTCTACTAATTTCTAGAAGAATCCAGAGGGTCCCGAACTCGCCAACATGGTCGCCAAAGTCGCCAACTTGGCTCTATCGCCAATATTTCGCCAAGTTCCCATTGAATCGCCAATATAACGTAAGGGTGTGAATACTACAATTTTATCATTAAATAAATATAGCATAGAGTAATATAAAGGCATTGCACATTCAAATACAAATTATTTATATTATTTTATACAAAATTCGTAACAATATTTAAATATTTATCTTGTTCAAATTTTCAATCGTTAATAAAATGCATTTTAAGCACTCAATTGAGCTGAAATTTTATATACGCGATTATTTTGGATGACAATACAGTAATTTAATTATAATTAATAAAAATTAATTGATTAAAACTAATTATTTCAAGAATTACAAATACAGCCATCTTGGCATCATTTTTGGTGACTTAGCTACCATTTTGGCGACTTGGGTCAAAACTTGAAAAGGTTTTTTCTCACATTTTAAAGCGCTCATTTGAGCTGAAATTTTCTATACACTATTGCTTTGGGTAACAATACGATAATTTAATTATAATTAATTAAAAAATTTGATTGAAATTAATTATTTAAAGAATTACAGATACAACCATGCTGGCTTCATTTTTAGCAACTTGGGTCAAAATTTAAAAAGATTGTTTTCCCCTCACGTTTCAAAGCTGAGCATTTGAACTTAAATTTTATTTACACAATTGTTTTGGATGACAATGCAATACTTTAATGATAATTAATAAAAATTAATTACCACTTAATGCTGTGATTCTGTCACATGTATATACATTTTTATATTAATTGTAACTATTTAATAAATAGTAACTTAAATAAATTTTCTTTTTGTTATCTAAGTAGGAAATGACTTAATTTTTTTATATTACATGTTCTATTGTGTTTTCCCCTGTAATATGGATTTAAAATAGCTCAACTAAATATAATATGTATATGTTATAAGAACTGCATCTCCTAGAGTTTTCTTTTCCTGTACAGAGAGTCATCAATTACGCCGTAATTAGTCTAAAACCCTCAGCTGAAAGGTGTGACTGAAACTTCGGGCCACATTTGAATGTATCACAAAATTACACTTTCCGATACTGATTAAACAAGATTCGGAATAACAATTCCAGAACAATCAACACGAAAAAAACAAAGCTGATAAGCAAAACAAAGATATTCGCTGTCGGTAGTGTAATTGGCTCGCACCTCGTCACCGCAACTCCACCCTTTCATTAAGACTGAAGCCAAAATCAACAACGGAAAAGTCTTGAGGCGAAGGGGGTTGGAAGCAAATAATATATCCTCTCACTCCGATTCTAAAGTTAGACTCCTCTGTGGTATCTCTCACAGAACTGTGCATTTGGTGGTTTTCGGTCCCACTTGTGTGTGTGGTGTTTTTCTTTTTCTTTCTCTCTTTTTTGTAGTTGTTGGGGAACCGTATCCAGTTAATTGATTTCTTTTTTAATGTGTTAAGGAACAGGTGGGCCATTCACGCTGTATTTTGGGAGACGACTGTCTACGTGGGACGAACTTCCTGTTTATGCAAATTCATGCTAAAGCGGCCGACTTTGATGCAGACGCTTTTCGATACCGAAATGTTTTGATAACTGTTTGCTTATAGATATATCACATCAGAATTTATTTAAAGTGGCGAGACTTTTTTTTTCGATTCCTACAATTAGTTCACGCTTTCCCTATATATATATATATATATATATATATATATATGTGTGTGTGTGTGTTACCATTTAAGTGTGTATAATTCAGCTATTTCATAGAATAACTAGGTATTTCATGAGACAACTTTACGAGTCATTTAAAATATAAAATAGATAAAAAAAATTTCATACTTTTCCTAGTTATTTTATGAAATAACTAATGATAGACCGTTAAAGTGAAAAATAAACAATTTCAAATTTATTTTATAAATTAATTGGCCCTGTATAGCTAAAATTTCTCGAAAAATATATGAATTACTATTGCGGATGATTAATTGATAAAGAATAAGGAAAAAGAAGTGATATAATTTAATATTACTCATATTACTAACATTAGTTAAACAGAAAGTTAAAAGGGAATATGTTGCAGGAATAGTTACATTTAAATATTACCAAACAAGATATCAATCATTGGCATGGCCAAGTAATTTTAGCGCGTTTTTCACACGTTGTATTTTACAATAATGCAACTAATGAACTTTTTACTAACAGAAAGTAGTGTGTACTGTACCACTCCTCTAAATGTACTACTATTGAGCTGAAAAGAAATAATGACACAAATCTGTATCAGCACTATAAAAAAGCAAAAAAAAAATTTTTTTTTACAAACTATGGGAAAATTTAAATATGATTCGGCTCATCTAGGGCACAAATGCGACCAAATGCCGAAAACCCGAGGTCAATTGGTTGCTTATTGGCTGAGAAAAAGGTGCAACAAAACATGGAACGAAGACGAAATTTGCGTCCTAATAGCGCTTTTGTTCCACTACGTGAAAAACGCGCTAAAAAAATACATTCTTGAAGGAAAACTTGCTTCACACATTGTATAAACTTTTTCATACAAAAATGTTGGAGAATATTAATTTAAATTTTACGAGATCCCTTTATTTTACTTTTCATTATTAATTAGAGCAAAGATTGCTGTGATGACACTTTGAATTGTATTGCGTATCATTTTTGAAACATATTTTAGTAATATACATTTTTTTCATACGAGCGCTTTTTAAATCTTTTCCCATTGCCTCAACTTTGAGCTGTTACAACAGATAAAAGCGTTATTTCATTATTCGGAACTTCAACAGAAATTAATTTTCGCTCACAAAAACTGAATTAAAATCTAGAGTACAATTGTTTTATTTGACCATCCCTTGTTCCTAATCTGAAAAATCCTTCCCAAAATCTGCAAAAGAAAAAGAAGTATGCTGCTATAAACTGTTCTAAGTTTCGAGAGTGCCGTATTTCATACTTTAACGAACATGTAATTGTTATTCTATAGAATACCTAGTTAAATCGTAGAATTGAATAATTTTATATATTTTAACCAACTTGTCCAGTTATTTCATGAAATAACTAGAGTTATTCTATGAAATAACGGATTTCACACACTTTAACGGTAACATATATATCTTGTTCAAATTTTCAATCGTTAATAAAATACTTTCTATTTATCCATCCAAGTTCAAATACATTTTTTAATTTTGTAGTGGACGACACTAGAGATTAATATAGTTTTTTCAAATATTAACTCATTAATTAAAAATGAATAAATAGTAACGAACAAAAATAATAGTCCAACAGCATATATAGAAAGGAAAATCATTCGTTGTGTCCCTGTAGCGCACCGGATAGCTTGTTGGACTTCTAATCCAAAGGTCGTGGGTTCGAATCCCTCAAGGGATGGCCTAGTTTCTGAGAATGTGTTTTCTTTTTTACTATACTATTTAATTAGAATAATTAAATTTAATTAATGAATAAATAGTTACAAACAAGCAAAAAATAGTCCAACACCCTATATAAAAAGGAAAATAAAAAATTGCAAGGAAAATTGCTTTCTATTTTGTTACTTAATAGTATGATTCTGTCATATGTATATGCATATTTATATTAATTATAACTATTTAATAAAAAGTAACTAAAATAAATTTTTTCTTTGTTAACCTAAGTAAGAATTGACTTGATTTTTTTATAATACTTGTTTTCTTTCCAGGTAAGTTGTAATTAATTAATCTATGTTCAAAATTATAAGTAGGTTTGAAGAATTAGGCTAAGAGTCTTATTAACTAAATCGTTGGATTTCAAAATGTGTTTCGAATTAGTAAAAACTTTGATTTTGAAATATATGAAAAGCATTGAGTAATAAGCCAATAAAAATTAAATTGGCTAAAAATAAATGAAAAATATTTCCTGATTGTAAGATTTTTTAAATATGAATTATAAAAAAAGGTGTTCTGAATTTTGAAAATAAAATGCATTTTAAATAAAAATTTTAATTCATCAAATTTAATTTTTTGAAACTTCTGTTGCAATATTGAGTTACATTTTTTGGTGATAATATACTTTCTTAATATAGTGTTATTATTCAAGTATTACTAAAAAAAATTGATGAATAAGGAAGATTAGTTCATAAATAGCAAAACAAACAAAAAAACTTTTTTTCATCTTTTCAAAGCACTTTCTATTATTGTATGTTCATCAAATTTTAATGTGCTTAAATGTGGAAATAATTTTAAACTAATATCTCAATGCTTTTTTTTAATGCAATTTCTTTTTTTTTGTGTGCCTAATTTTGATATATTTGTCTTTGATGCGTATATTGCTACAGCTGGCTCGAAAACTTCAAACCGATCTCTGTCTTATATGTCCTCTTTTACTGTGAAAAACGGAAACGAGTCACATAAAACTGTCTGTGAGTGTGGGTGTGACCCCCCCCTCCCCCATTTACCTCTCTCAAAATTGCCAACGCTTTACATGGGAGATTGCACGGACATAAACAGAATCTTTTAATTTTCGACTTTATTCTAATTCCCTAGAACAGTAAAAATATAGTCCACAGACAAATTGTTGTCTACCATTCATTTCTGTATCTATCTTGTTCTAATGCAAGATATAAGGAATCACTACTAAATACCATCCACTGTATTCCAGCAGTCTGAAAGTTTTCCAACGGGGCACAAATCGTCTTAAAATTCTCCCGCTTTGTTTATGTATCATAAAAAGTAGGTTATTTTTTTTATCACCTGTAATAATGTTAATTAATCCTATTGAATTACCTTGGTTAAGTCGTTGAAGCATTTTTTTTTCACTTATTCACGTCTAATTTCTTATATATATACAGTCGGACCTCTTTATAACGAAGTCACTAAATCCCGAAAAAAGCTCGTTATATGGAAAATTCGTTATGTAGAGGTTCATCTTTCAAGTTTCTTGATAAACCACATAAAACAAACTCTAAATTCATAAACACTATACATTAAAAAATTATTCACATTTTTTTTAAAATTAATATCTATTTGTTTTATATATCTTGCCTATCGAAAAAAAAAAGAATAGAAAGAAAGAAAAACTGCAAGGAAAGTTTCTTGACGTCTTTATCCACTTTCTGAAGAGTTTAATTTTTTCTTTGATGCTTAGTCACTTACGTTTTGAAATTTTCGAATTACAAGAAACAAAGTTATCAGTACGACTGATGAACACTACAAATGAACGGAGACTAGTTTAAGGACACGTGGATATAAGACAACTCCACTGAGGGTGAAAGTGGATATCGAAGATGTTTCTAGTGAACTAGACAGTGCGAGTTAAACGTTACACTTCTTGGGTGAAATGTTCAGAATTCTATTGTTCTCTGTGAATTAGGCACCTAATAAAACCATTTCAAGATTTATGATCACCAAAAAAATGTGTTAAAAGAGAGAATAACTTGAAATGTCTAGAAATACTTTAAAAATAGGGAGGGAAAAAAATTGAATCATAAGAGAAAAAGTTCGTTATATCGAAAATGCTCTTCGCTTTTGGGAGGTGATTTTACGAAGAAAATCGTGAAATGTTCTTGGCTCCAGGAAAAAGTTCGATATAAAGAAAAATTCGCAACATAGAGGTTCGTAATATGGAGGTTCAACTGTATATATATATTGCGTTTTCTTTTAAATTAATTAAGTGTTCTTTACATCTCTTGTATTATTTAGATAAATAGTTGCATATAACTTTTGAAATCGATAGCAAATCAAAGCTAATAGAAATCTTGGTTTAACCTGAAGATACTTAATCATTGTCATATTACCACAAGCTTATTTCATGCAGTTTCTACGTGAATGATTGATGTATCTGAATATTCAAATAACTCTGATATTGTTTATAATTTTCTGTCACTGCAAAATTTCTAAGAATTCAACTAACAATGTAATTAATTGAAGTGGAAGAGTCCTAAAAGATTTTCAAATTCTTATTGTGGTGTCATTCGCATTTCGTTAGAAAAAAATCGGCAAACTCTAATTACTTTCTCTCATTTTTTGTCACCCCCAACCTAAAGATTTTATTATTTTTTTTGTTAAAGTCGCACTTTAAAGTTGCACGCTGTCACTCACTCTCCAAAATCTTAGGGGTTCTCTACACAATAGGTCTTCACTGACACCAAGACTCGTAAACATTATTCGACACCACCAATCACGCGAATCCGAAATTTTGACCATCCGCTATCCTAGCCATAAACGCAATACTCAGGAAGGAAATGTATAAAGAATTTGTGTAGCCACACAAAGATAATATATTTTTTGGGTTTAATATGCTAAAAATTTTAGTTTTCAAGTGAGAAGAAAAAACTTTTTTCCCAGCTTATACGTAGTTTTCGATTCTCAAGACAGTTTCGTTTGAAAATGTAAATCACAGATATTGTCTTTTTCTTTTACTTCTCTGGGGTTACAATACTTCCTTTTAATAATATAGCTTTTATGATATAATTTTATTCTGAAATTTCTATCACGGTACAATCCAATCCCCCACCCCCTCTGCTCCTTTTACGATATTATTAATTTTAAGTACTTGGTACAGACCATTTAATTAACCTCTCTTATGCTTTTGATTATTCATAGTAAAAATTTTCTAGTATCATTATTATACCAGAGTTCAAAATTAAGAAAATAAACACTTTTGGAAGAATTTTTCCTGAGCAAAATTTTGATTGAATTAGGTATGTGCATTAGTTAATACACTGGTGTATTAACTAGAATTTTCGTCGAATTTTCAGATTTGACTGATTATTTCTGGAAGTACCGGATAGATTTTAACGAAATTTGTACATAGGTTTGATATAATGTAAAAAAATAACCATTCACACACACAATATCTATAATACGCAGGCATGATCATGCGTAACACTCATCGGTATGTCATCAGTTGCAGAATAGGAGAAAAATTGGTTATTAGGGGGTATGATCTCTTCTTATAGATATCTGGACCTCGCACTGTTTACTGGAAATATGGGATTTTATGAGTTAATGTAGAAATTAATCCCACTCTTTCAGCAACTCCATTTTCCGGCCTTGGAGTGTTCTCAGATGTAGGTTGCGAGTTGCAATTGCCCTCCCCAGAACGACCCAGGCATGCTCTATAGAGATGAGGTCTGGAGATCCATCCATCTGGCGTATATCCTGACTTTCCAGAATTCGTAGTCCAGATGAGCTGTTTACGGTCTCGTCTTGCCCTCCATTAAAACAAAATAAGGGTCAACAACACCTTAAGGTGTGAAAAGGTGAACATAGGACTCCAAGACCTCATTCTTTTGCCTCACAGCAATCACAATGCCTCTTTCAAAGACATGGAGGTGTATGAGGCCATCCAATGCAATGCTTTCCCAGATCATTATGCCATAGTGGTCAATTTCTTGGACATTGGAAGGCAGCTAACTGGTTCCTTTCTCTTTCCATATGAAAGTACAACAGGGATCACTGGCTAGGATGGACCGGGATTTATCAATGCAGAGAACGGTCACCTATTGATCCGTGCTCCAATCTGTATGATATCTGCATCGTTTTAAACGGACTCTCCTGTTTACAGAACTGAGAGGAAAGCAAACAGGTTCAATGCAAATACTCATTTCATGAAGTCTTCTGGAAGCAGTTGTCCCTGAAACTTGAGTTCCTGTGGCTGCATACACAACTCACGAGTTAGCTTAGAAGCTGTAGCATCCCTGTTATTCCTGGCTGTCATAGACAAATGACGATCTTCTCTAGTCGTCGTGGCTCTTGGATGACTTTGTCCAGGTGTTCTCTCGATGGATTCGGTATCCTAAAACTGTCTCCATATGTTGAACATGACATTGGGCGTTAAATTTACTTCTCTAAAAATTTGGATTGGAGACTGTCCTGCTTCTAGCCTACCCAAAATTCACCACCTCCATCCTTCATCTAAACATTGGTGGTTACTTATTTTTAATCTCTGATTTTAATTAATGAATAATTTTTTTATAAATAAATATTATAGTATATTTTATGTATTATTATAATATTTTATATGATATTTTATTTATAATATATTGTATTTCATATTAACTAATTCTCATTGTAACTAATTTTCATATAAAATATCATTTAATATTTATTATAATTTATTTTTATAATAAATACATATAATTATATTTATAAAATACATAAATATATAAATTATAAAATATACAAATAGTTATATATTTTATAATTATTAATAAATATTTATTTTAAAAATAAAAATATATTATACTAAGTATTAAATGATATTTTATATAAAAATTAGTTACAAATAGTTTTATAATATGAAATAGAATGTATTATAAATAAAATATTATAAAATAATACATAAAATATATTATAATAATTATTTATAAAAAATTTATTTTATAATAATATAATAAAAATAATATATATCTT